CTCTCCTTTTGACGGTTTGCTTTTGAAAAGTTTTCTTGTGAGAAACATTTTATGCTGTTGCTAGTTAAATGTAATGATGCTTCACCCTTGAAGAAATAAAAGGCCAGATTTGGCTGACTTTTCTTCTTGAGGAATCTATTTTTGAGTAATATGTGTGTTAAAATGCAGTAACAAGCACTAATATAAAAAATATTAAAAATTAAGTGATGGATAAATGAATGCTACTTTTTTCACATCCAAGATATTTTCATAATCTCACATTTACTGTATTAAACCTATACAGCTTCTCTGTAGCTTTTGGATCAACTTTCAACTTTAATATATCCAAGGCATACCAGCCTTACTTGAATTAAAAATAAAAGAGAAAGAAAGAATCATAGGTGTAACTGTCTTGTATTTACTAAGACAAACTAGAAATATGAAATACTAAGAAAGTAAATGTTGCAAGGACCAGAAAACTCAAAGTATAATTGCTGTTGAATAATATAGTGTACAAAGATCCAGAGGTAAAAACTTAGGAGATATCATTTTTAATGTTCACTAAAAATTGCACATTTATTATTTATCCCATGTTTGGAAATTTTTTACTTTCACAATGGCAAGACCATGTTTATAAGGAACAATCCTGAATGGCAAAAATAATAATGTTCCATTTTATACATACTCGCTAAGAAAAGTCTGAAGGACCTTGATGGGTTCTAGATCGATTTCTCTGTTTCTAAGCCAGATCACACTTGAATGACTATTGTTGAGCTCTGTCTTATGAGCTTCCCCGGGAGGTGACATTTCTTCACATGTGTTGTCAAGCTTACTGAGCTTGACAATGTCACATAGATTGAGGCTGTTGACTTGAATGACTAAAGATAATTCATTCTATTATTTAAAGTTTCATCTCAAAAACCCTTACAAAGTATTTTATGTAACTTCTTCCTTATAATCTATGTTTTCTAGGTTCCCTGCCTTGGACTTATAACCCTTTAACAGCCTTCCCCTACAGCTGATCAATTAACACCCATTCTTCAAGTGTCTATTTACATAACATTCTCCTAAGAAACCTTCTCTGCTGCTACCCTGTCCCAATTAGTTGGAAGTGATGGCTTTCCGAATTCCCATAGGCTGCGTCTATACTTCTTATTTAGGTAGCATATCAGGGGTTCCACCCACCACGCCCAGGTTCAGACTTTCTGGGAGAACTCATGACAGCATCTATCCATACTTATGGCTATGATTTATTACTAAGAAAGGATACAAGGCAAAATCAGCAAAGGGAAAAGGCACAGCGAGTGATGGAGTGAAGTCCAGAGGAAACTAGCAGCAAGCTTCCAAAAATTCATCCCAGTGGGTGTACTGGAATGTGTTCAATGACTTTGATGACACATGTGAAGAATGTTGCCACCAGGGCGGCTCATAAGAGACTCAGTACTCAAAGTTATTACTGGGGGCTGAGTGTGTAGGCAACCACATGTGCCAAGACTCCAGACTCCCAGAAGGAAGGCATGTGCTTAGGATAGCTATGTTGTTTGCAGTTCAGGCACAGCGAATCATTCTTAACAGGTAGGGTGAAGCACTACCTACGGAATCTGTTTCCAGATGTCAGCCAAGGGTAATTTTGCCTCAGGCTTTTCTCAGAATAGGAGTCTTAGGTCTGTTATGTTAACAATTCTATGCACTATTAGTTATACAATTTCATTGTAAGCTCACTGAAAACTGGGGAAGGAAATTTTTGTATTTTTACTCCATAATTCCCAGTATAGAGCAAGATTTTTGATATGTGGCACTCAACAAATATTGCCGATGAGAAAGTTTGATTCATTAAATAACTGCAAGAAATAGGCAGAAAAGCAGACTTAGAAATACAAAGGACAGTTTTTCCATTCCATTATGCATGGAGTCCTCTGTACTGTCTGTGATTTTCCTGTGTCTAAGGACAGAAGATAGCATAAGCAGATAAAAAGTAAAACACCCATTGTGAATAATACTATTACTGACATAAGACAATTTATTATCATCAAATATATGTACACTTTTTTTGGAAATAGAAATATGCAATTTTTTTCAGGAAAATAACCTCAGATCACTAACATCTTCCTTAAGCCTGCCTACTCTGCATTTTATTATTATACCTATAAAACATTGCATATATTATAGACCACGTCTCCAATTTACTTACTTCAAAAGATATTTACTGAGCACTTGTTTGAAGCTGTCACTGATATAGAAATATTAAGAACTCCATAATAAAAATAGGTAATACACAGGTCAAACACTGTTCTAAGCACTACTGTAAGAGGTAGATCCTAATATATATATGCTCCTTTTACAGAAAAAGTTATTAGGGATGTTAAATAACCTTCCTAAGATTCCTAAGAGTTACTCCGCTATCCATCCAATCACTCCATTGTACTGATTCTCATACCCTAGAAATGCTCAGTCTTCAACATAAAAAATTATTTTGACAAAATTAAGGAAAAAAAATCTTTGCTCCAATGTTAAAGTTTTCTTCTCCAATACTTTCCAAATTAAAGAACCTAAGTATTTCTAGATTTGGCCATTTCATGATTGATAGATTATGTAGTCAATAAATAATTTTTCACTTATCAATTTATGAAAAAGTAGTGAGGACTCAACAACATATTAACATTGTGACTCATTCTGAACATAATCGGAAAGTTAAATTGGTTTAAATAGGTAAATTCATGTGCACTGAAATCTGTTTATTCCTACCACTGTCTGATGGTGGCGTTTTTGTGGTACAGTTGAAGTGATGTTTAAGAATAGAGTTTTTCATTTCTTTCTGAATAGGATACATTTTTGTAATTAATTGTCTCCCACACAGAAGTACAATTGATACATACCAAACCCTGAAGAAGAACTCATAGAAGGGAAAATATACTCTTGATTTTTCTATTTCTTAAAACATAAAAGACTAAAACACTATAAACAAGCTGCATTAAGTAAAAGTCAAAGAGTAGTTTAGAAATGCAGATATAATTTCACCCCTGGATCATGAAACAGTATTTGGTCTAACAAAGGCATTGTCAGTACTGTTTACAAGTTTTTAGGTCTTTACGGATTCAACATTAGTATTCAAGTTGAGGAAGATGACAGAGTTCTGCGGTTGTGGGCAAGGCTTTTCATTGTGAAACTAGGGTGATAGACATTTGAAAGGCATTATTTTATTTATAACCACTTAAGGAAACCTCCTTCAGGTGACTGATATTATCGTCATCCCTATGTCATAAAGGAGGCAACTGTGTCTCAGGAAGGTAAAGTGAACATCTCAGGGTCATGAGAGTAGGAAGTGACAGAGTGGTGACTTACACTCAGATCCTTACTCTTCAGAGTTAGTGCTCTTAACCAGTAGGCCTCATTGCCTCTCAAATATCTCTGAAGGGACATAGATTTGAATACAATTAGAAATGTTCAGTACCAAGCACTGAGGTACAATTCTCTATGTGTCCCTCACATCTCTGCATGTCTTGCAAGCAAACACATTGACTGATATTAGACTATCCTAAAGAGTGTTAGTATAGCGGATGTGTTGCAAGACAGAGATATAGTTTTCCCATGGAGGAATGGGCAGGAATGTTTATTCTTATAAAAATACTAGAGTCTGCTCCTATAAACATCCCAGTGTGTGTGCAGATGTCATCTGGCCATTGGCATTTCCTGAAAAAACTGGGCTTTGGAAACCAGCATAAGATAATGTTGGTACTGTGGTCACAACTTTTTTCTTAATGAGTTGTAAAACCTTTTGTTTCTGAAAACAGAAGAGAAGAAAACAACTTCTCTAAATTGGAAGTTGACCTACTTTCTGTAATGCCTGAAGATTATTACTATTTTGGGGATCCTCTTGAAAGAAAGTAATATAAAATTACAAATACGAAGTTAATTTCAGGAATGTGGAAAGGTCCCGGCAAGTGGGAAGCCCTGAAATTGAAGCTCTAATCATGACAAATCCATCTTGCTTCTAATTATATTTTTGAAAGTCATTTTTTTCCATTTTGACAAATGACTCTAAATTACTTTTCACTTCCCAAGCACCAGGTGTATATATCACATGGTGACTCATTTTAAAGAATAGTCCTTACATTTTGTCTTTTAGGCAACATAAAATCTAGAGTATGTCTCTCAAACGATAATCTTTTCAACACTCTGGTGTGCTATTTAGATTTATATACGATCTAGGGAATATTTTGTTTTGTCGTCCACCAACTCTACAAACTAAACATGACCAAACTGATGTTTTTATTAAATTGATTTCTAAAACTTGCCTTGGTGACCAAGATAGGTAAATCCCAATAGAGTTCAGCTCAAATGCCAGAAAAATTAAATTCACGAGAATTATACCATCAATGTTGATATAGTTTCAACTTGGATATATGGCAGATTTATGGTGTTTGAAACGAGAGAAAGAACATACTTTACATGATACTATTTGAGTAGCAAATTGCCCAGTCATGGTGGCTCACACCTGTAATCCCAGTACTTTGGGAGGCCGAGGTGGGCAGATCACTTGAGCTCAGGAGTTTAAGACCACCGTGGCTAACATGGTGAAACATCATCTCTACTAAAAATGCAAAAATTAACGGTGTGGTTGTGGGCAACTGTAATCCCAGCTATTCAGGTGGCTGAGGCAGAAGAGTTGCTTGAACCTGAGAGGTGGAGGTTGCAGTGAGCCAAGATCTCACCATTGCACTCCAGCCTGGGCAACAGAGTGAGACTCTGTCTCAAAAAAGAAAAAAAAAAAAAAAAAAAAAGAAAGTAGCAAATTACCTCTTACACACAACATGGAAAAAGAAAAAAAATAGCCTAACTTATTTCTTGTGTAAAATCATGTCTTTTTATTATGGTAAAATCTTAAAGTAGTTAAAACCATGAACAAGTCACATTTGTGTTCTCCTCGCAGATAACAATTATAGGTTAAGCGTTATAAACATTTATGTGAACTCATGAAGCATAGAATTAAACAAACAAGAAAATGAGTACATTTCACCTACTTTTGAAATGTTACTTGATCGACTTGCAGATCGCCCTGGGGATTTTTCATTCTGAAAAAATAAAATTAGAAAGATTGATTAAAAGTAGGTATGGCACTTTCACCATACTGTACCACGGAGGAGAGAAACCACAGCACAGGGAAAGTTGTGAACGCTTTCCATATTGTTTTGACTAATAGGCATACTAATTGCTTATACAGAATGTTTTTCTTTTATGAAATTATATTTATCTGATACCAATTAGTGTACTTTAAAAAATACTTCAATTAACGTCTGACTATTAATCAGGTTAGAAGTGGTATTTGTTCCCAGGAAATAATTATTTCTCTAGAAAAAATTATGAAATTCTTTGAAACTAAAATTAGACAGCAAAAGTGTAATCTACTACTTCCCCTTTTACCCTTGCAACTAGGAAATTGTGAATAAATTCTGGTTTTCAGTATCATTAAATATCCTGTGCTGGGTATGTGGTATCTACATCTACTTTGTATTCTTCTAAAATGCATTTTATTTATTATTTTTGTTATTTTTACATACTTCAAAATTAAAACATTTGCTTTTTAAAAGTTAAGATGCTTCTGATTATATATTTTTAAATTAAAACTTAAAAATTTTGTAAATATTTATATCCTCAGTTCTTTCCTCTTAAAGAATTTTTTATTTAGTGGAAAAGAGACATGAAAGAAGCTTTTGAATAAATGTTTTTTAAAAGGTCAGACAATTTTAAAGTAGAAATAAACCTTAAGTAGTTGGGCCCTCTCGTTTAAAGCCCAGAGACATTGTGCTCCTGAAAATTATATAGCTGCTTTTATACTCTGCCAATTATGTGCCGGTGGGTAATCAACTGGAAAAATCAGTTTATAAGCATTATGCATTTTACATGTAGAAAGAGATCAAAGATAAATTTACACCTCTCCTTCTGTAGAGAAAATGTTGCTGGAAGAATCAATTCTGAATACTAAAACTTTATAAAGGATCTGAAATGACATTGCCATTGAAATAATTTTCCTGTGTAAGAATTTTTTTTTTTGAACTTCTGGACTCAGCCCCATAGTGGGCCCGAGTAGGCAACTGCAATGCATTTTGACAGAGGTCATTTTTGAGAACTACGTTGTTATAACAACCCGTGGGGCTGAAATTGCCCCACGATGACTACTTGAGACAGATTTAGAAACACAGTGATAACAGGATATGGCAGATGTGTTATTGCAGAAAAACAGTGGCTGCATTCACTGCAAACTGTCACTGTGTCATGCGCAGGCTTACAAATATTCCAGCTGAACAATACTTTTTTCTTTACATGCAACATCCATCTCATACAACCACTGATGTCACTGCGGAGCATGTTATTACAGACCGAGATGAGTCACAACGATATGGTTAGTTACACCTCATAACAGCCCCATGCTCCAGCTGGAGATTAACGTGTATGCTACCGCAGACATTTCTTCCTGATTAGATCCACTGGTGATGGAGAGAGGCACTTTTCTACTGACATCCCAACTCCCCTTCTAGAGACTATAAAACAAAATCAATCCATCTTTCCTTCTCAGTGAAATTTAGGATTTTGACACATTATTGTGTAGGACAGAGTCACATAATATAATAGGCTTTGGGAGAGACTGGTAGCAGTGGTTTTTTTTTAAATGTTTTCTATATTTACATGATATTTGACAACATGATTAAGAACTAGAAAGGTGCTGCCACAGGAATCAAGCAAAATAAGAAATTTAATTTTGCATAGGATTATTTAATTTTTCAAACTATATGGGACTTCGTGGTGTTTTGAGATAAAACAAGAAAGGCCAGACTCACTTTACAATTGTGTGAGTTTACCATAGAGTTATAACAAGAATATCATTTTCACACTCTCTACCAGCATCCACCAATTGAATGGGGGAAAAGCATCTGCTTGATTATTTAGTACTTCAAAGGATCTTTTAACTTGAAATGGATTGGCTTTATTTTCTCGAATTAGAAGGTCATGCATTGAAATAAACAAACTTAGGCAAAGGTTAACATTTTTGCCATCGCTAAGTTCTCTATTGTTTCTATACCAGTACATGGAAAAGGAAGGAGCATCAGAAAATCTAACATGTGGGAGCAGCGTGGTGTACACTATGCTGTGCTGGCAGTGAAGGAAAGTGAGAGACTGCCTTGCGATGAGAGCTCTGGTGAGGAGTACACTGTTTGACATTCCAGGACTTCAATTTCCTCATTGTAAAATGGGTAAAGATAATATCTTGGAAATCTGTGTAAGGATCAAATGAGTTATAGATGAAAACATTTTATAAACTGTGAAGTTATGATATTTCCATTATAATCCACAGGTATAAGAAACACTGAAATAGCTTTCTTTAAAAATAATGATGATCATTAGGTCACTATACTTTTTTTTTTATATAAACATCTTAGTTCCTATATCTTGCAATTCTGCCTTTGATTTAAATTGTAAGGCGGGCAGGGTCTTCACACCTGGAGCAGCTTTCTCCAAAACAAAGTTGATTGACAGACTCACCAAACATGGTATTGAGTTTAGTGTCATTAGCAGCTCTGAAGTCTAAACATTTGAAGGATTAACTGAAGTCATAAAGTCCACGAATTAACAGCTTCTCTATTTGATATCTGAAATTATTCTATAAGCCTCTCTAACTATATGTGGAAACGTTTGTCAAATCTAAAATATTAAAAGCAGGAAATTGTCCTAGCTTACGCTAAAAAAGAAAAAAAAATTAAATATACACATACAATTTAAAAATTAAAAATGAAATCATTTCTGTCCAGGGGGATTAAGAAAGCTGATTTGTCTTGCTTTTGAAGCAAAGCACCTGAAGCACTTTCTCTCTTGGAAAACTTCCAAAGCAATCTGTCCAATTTGCTACTAATTAATTGGGTGGCTTGTCCCATTATTATTGCAATGACATATCTTCTTTGCAGAGTAGTCAATATGGTTGTCATACCTCATTACAGTCAGTTAAACTACTTTACCTTAGATTAAACATAAGCTGTCTCAGAATCTAACATAACTTACTGGCACCCAAATTATAGTGGCCTTGTAAGTCAATAAAAGTTGGGAGCAACAAGAGTTCCTAACAAGCCTGCAAGGAATGTATGGGATCATTAAGCAGTAATGTTGGATTTTAGCAAGTCATCTACAGTATGCGGACAGAGAGAGAGACTTCCAGTTTTGTAAGTCTATTTTAGTATTTTCAAGAAGTTTCTAATTTTTGGTTGGCTATAAAGGTGTCTGATATCGATAGTTTAGTTTTGGGATTATTATTATTTTTCAAAGTCAATCTTACTAAACATGATTGGATTCTTTTTACTAGCGAGGAAAAATGATTACCAAATGAGGCAATTATTACCAAGTTTTGTTTTAATATATTTTTAATGTTATACACTAAGGAAAGTGACACAGTCCTTTTAAAACAAAGTGGTCTGTCCTAAAGAATATGTACCATGACCGGACAGGTATGAATCTACATATAAATTTTTTGTGTACTATGTCATTGGCTGAGGGACATAATAAAGCTTAAAAAAGTGTTTTTTTTTTTTTCTTTTTTTTCTTTAATGTAACCTGAAAAAAACCCTAAATATTCCTGCAGGAAGAAACCAGTCTAAGACATTCTTACAAAGACCACTAATATGATATTATTCTGTAGTTTTATTTACCCCCTTTTTCAGGTTAAAAATCCTTCAAAAGTATTTTAAAGGAGAAAAATCCTTTAAAAGTATTTTAGGGCCGGGCGCGGTGGCTCACGCCTGTAATCCCAGCACTTTGGGAGGCTGAAGCGGGTGGATCACGAGGTCAAGAGATCGAGACCATCCTGGTCAACATGGTGAAACCCCGTCTCTACTAAAAATGAAAAAATTAGCTGGGCATGGTGGCGCGTGCCTGTAATCCCAGCTACTCAGGAGGCTGAGGCAGGAGAATTGCCTGAACCCAGGAGGGGAGGTTGCGGGGAGCCGGGATCGCGCCATTGCCCCCCCACCCGGGTAAAAAAAACCAAACCCCTTTCAAAAAAAAAAAAAAAAGTATTTTAAAGGAGAAAATAAGGTAATTTGGATGGTCATCTGAAAAATTTTAAGTAGACAGTAGAGCAATTTTTACTAGGGTAATTATAACTTGGAATAGAAGAAAAGCCTTAAACAATGTCAGTTGTAAATAAAAAATAAGCAAGTATATAGCGAAATTGAAAACTGTAATAAAATTTGATAAGACATATATAAAAAAACTCATGCCCATTAAGTGATAAACATTTAATGTCCATAAAATATTTAAAAATTATTTTATTAATACCTTAAATATTTCTAAGTAGAGATTTTATAGGGTCTTTTATTTTTCAATATTGAACCAATACAATTAGAAATCCAGTTTTAAAACATGACTCGTAAGTCTTAATTACCCAAAAATTAAGATACTTTTATATAATACTTGGTCTAAAGGAATGAAAATTCTAAAATATAGCTAGAAACTGTAGAATATATCATATTAAAGCCTATAGAATATAGCAAAAAGCTGTATCCAGATAAAAGTTTATAACTGTAAATGGTTTCATTATTAAAGAATATGAGAAGGTAATCAAAGAAATTAAAGCTAAAACTAATTAAATTGACTTAAGTTAGAGAAAGTATAAGATTTTCTTAAAGAAAGTCTTTAAAAATCATTGCAAAATAGATGAACTGCCTATAAGACATATTGAGGGAAAGAGAGAACAAAAAATATAAGAAATGATAAATAATCATAGCCCCCCAAAAAACTCTATAAAAAGAGTACTACATGTAACATTATTGGAACAAATATAAAAATGTAGAGGAAATAAATTATATTCCAGTAAAACCAGAATTTGTTCAAGAAAAAGAGAAAAACGTGATAAGATAGTTAAGAAAATATTCAAAACATAAATAAAAGTCTATATGCTCCTAAAATGGATAAGGACATGCTGACTTTACAACTGAGCTATAGTTTACTTTAAAGAACACATAATTCCAATATAATTTATACTATTATCATCATAGTAACATAAATTTCCCTAATCCATATTATAAAC